TTGGAGATGTGGGCTCCAGACAAGTCAGCTCCCAGAAGGGCATCTAAGCAATGCAGAAACACATCTTCAGGCAGCAGCTACTGCAAACCACATCACAGCCTGCTAGCACTTGGAGCTCATCCCTTTGGAGACCTGTGGTCTGTAGGGCAGGAGCCTAGGTTTTTGGAATGCGAATTTGGAGGCAATACATAGTGGTCTGAAAAAGCAGTTCCTGATCCCTTGATGGGCAGAGGCCACTCTCTGGCTGCTGATTGATGATCAAGGGGGTTGCTCTGATGTGGCCAGCACAAGAGCATGAAGGAGCGGTCAACCTCTCAGCCTTTGCATGTGGTGGCTGTTGGAAGTAAGGCCATGGCAACCCCTGCCCTTACCAAAAGTAGGAGGGAGAATACATCAAGATGTAGGAAGGGTGCTGTGGGTCTGTTGTCATGTCCAGAGGCTCCAGATATGCACCTGAGCAAACAGAGGGCACTTCTGTGCATACTGGTGCTGCTAATACAGTTGTGTTCCCATTCTTCTGCTCTTACTCAGCTATAGGATTGCCTTAAAGTAGGAACATTGCACCCTCCGAGGTCACATAGTGCCAGGCAGCAGAAACAGGAGTGGACAGAGAAGAGGGTGCATTGCCCTGGGATCAGCCATGCACTAAGACTGTCTTTTGGTGCATCCTGTGGCAGGGATCTGGACCTTCCTGGGCAGGTGGTATAGCAGCTCTCGGCTGGAGCAGGAGGAATGTGCTGTACACCTGAAACAGTGGGAAGAGCTGGGATGTTCCAGGCAGTCAAGCAGGTATTCTGTGGAGGGCAATGTGCTGGAGAAGGCAATGTAGAGAGACTGAGTAATCCACCCGGCAGGACACTCTGAACATGCCATATCAGCTCTACTTCAGCACCATCCGGTGGCATGGTGTTGCCCAGTTTTATGAGGTCTTAGCAGCTTGTGCTGCTCTGCTGTCCACAGGCTGTCTGCCTGCCTTTGGGCAGATCTGTCTCCATGGAGCAGATGCTCAGATAGTGTCTGCATGGAACCAGCTCAAAGATAACAATTGCAGGAAGACCGCACTGCTCTGGATTGGAGCTGGCTCTGCAGGAGGTAACTCAGCTAATTCTGATCTGCTTGGGCAGCTCCCAGCCTGGGTAATCTCCTCTCAGCAGATGGAAAGGTGACCATGCAGCAACCTACGCCGGGTGTTTCCATTGTGCTGTGTTCATAACTGCGTATTATCCAACCTGAGCTTTCTAAGAGTTGCCACTCAACAAGTGAAGTGCTTGGCAGAGCAGGGTGTGGGCCTGCCATCTCCTTTGCTCAACACCAGTTTTCCTTGTGTCCCTAGATACCGCTGAGAGAGATTGAAGCTTGGATAGAAGCGCCGAGTTGGCAACTTTTAATATTGCTGAAACATAATCAGCTTTTGCTTCTACAGCAATTAGCATGTTATTACCCATAATGTTTTGCATGGCAATTTTGTTGTAAACATTTGTACTAATTCACCATAACCTAATTATTTTTATGACATGTAATTATGAAATATTTTTGGAAGAGTAATGTTTTCTTTTTCTATTTATACCATTATTTCCTGGAAGTGTCAGATATTTTTAACATCAGGAAATGGCATCTCCCCCCTTCCCCAATTAGACTTTTCTATTTACTGCCTCAACTTGCCTCGGTAGCGCAGTAGCTGGGAACATGTTCTTGTGGAGATGTGTGATGGATTCCAGGAGAGACTAATTGAGTTGTAATTTTTGGTAGTATGATATTTAAATGGAGGAATATAACAGGTGGTTTTCTTCTCTGCTCAGTGGGTAGATGTGATCAATCCTAGTTGCAACACCTGCCATGTCCCCTTCCTAAGTATTTAGGAACGAGTGATGTGGTGAAGCTATAGCATTAGGACCTTGTCTTTCAGGAATGCAACCACTCTGAACTTGGAGGCAGGACCTCTTGAGGGAGATGCTGGTGGGTTTTGCCATCAGTAACCTACTGCTCAGACCTTGCACAGGGGAGGGCTGGCATCCTGGAATAGAACAACTAAGAGACTCCTCAGCCCACCCTGTCTTCCAGCTTGGTATGACTGTGTCAGTGTGCTAGGAGGATGGGGATGCATGGTACCAGGGGGGATGCCTGAAAGCCAAAGAGAAATGTCTGTGCTCTTATTCAGGCTTCAAAGAAAGATCCTGAACCTAAGCTACAGAGGCAAATACAAAATTGGTGCGTGGAGCACAGGAGTGACAAACCCAGCCTTGAGGGAACACTGCGGGATGATGGGAGGTGGTTTTGAAAGCCTCTAGCCGGGGACAGAAATGTAATTTGTCTTGTCTACTCCCTGACTGCATTCTGCTGGCTTGGTGACTGCAGCAGGCAGGGAGCTGCTCACCCTGCTCCCAAAGGTCGTAGCAGCAATCAAGCATGTGTTGCATGCACTCAGCCAACGTTTAATGGCAAGAGGCCTTCTTTCATCTCATTCATGGAAGTACCATATAGAAAATGTTCAGAATTCAGGCTTAATCTTAACAAATATGAAACTTGGCAGACTGAAAGGCTTGTATATCTTGCCTGATCTCCAGTCTGGAGAGGTCTCAAAACGGAGCCATGTGTAGCACATTGACATTCTAGAAGAACATATAAAAAAAATAAAAAGGCATTTTTAGATGACTATATGTCATATAAATGAGATTTATTTCAATGCCTGTCATGATAGTTGAAGCAGTAAAAAAAATCAGTAATTGCCGGTCCTTTGGTTGCATAAGCTCTGGATGTTTAACTCTGAGCTACATTTATACAGCAACTTTTAGGAAATATAGTCAATTCTTTGCCTGTCTTTGTGTCTTCTGGTTGGCAGAGATGCAGCTGCACAGTGTCAGCCATGCTGAGCATGGTGAGTGTTGCACGGAGGCTGCTGTCTCAGAAGTTGTCTCAAGTTATCTGTTAATCATGTGTTGCTGATGAGGACCGTGGAACTTGGGTTAGGAAAAACACACTGGCTTTTTAAAATCATTCTCAGTGCTGGATATTAGTGCGAAGTCACACTTCTAGGAAGCCTACAAGTAATCAGAGGTGCAGATCTGAAATGATACAGTGATTTTTGTGACTGCGAGACCTGAGAATTGAAGTGGGCTGTTATGTGAGGAATTTTAGCAGCTCTTTGCCCTTCCTGAATACCAACAGCCTCCTTCAGGTTCCCTCATAAGTGACTTGTCCAACAGCCCTTCTTAAATGAATCTTTGTTCTTTGGGTTATTCATTACTAGTGAGAAAAGAGAAGGTGACTTGCAAAGTTTTTTCATCTCCTAACCCCAGCGTTATCCTTGATCTTTCTGCAGAAGTAATAAATTGAGATATTTGATAAGACTGTGTATAGACTATCTTGAAAATGAAGTGAACTCTGCACTGAGTTGTAATCCAGCTGATAACTGCTACTGAGGTTTCCCTTAACAAAAGCTGAGTATTTTCTGTCCAACTATCACTGTGATTTTTGACTTTTCCCCAGGGATCGGCAACATTATTCTGCACGTTAAGAAACAGTTCAAAGTGTGTTAAAACTTGATGCAATGTTTGGTGTCTTTCAACTGGCCTCCTTTAAAGGCACCACCATGAAACATCCTGGTCTAGGGTTTTGAGAATTAGGCAATGAAGGTCTCAAGGGGCTGGCAATCAAAGAATCATAGGATAGTTAGGGTTGGAAAGGACGTTAAGATCATCTAGTTCCAACCCCTCTGTCAGTCCTTCCCCCATCACACTGATAACATAGGGGGATCACTGTTGTACTTGATGAGTTTTCTGCATGGGGTGTATAAGCAGTTAGCAGGAGAAGTGCAGTTGCAATTGATGAAAATTAGTCAGTCCCACTTTTTTAAATACACATGGGAAATTGTATCTTGCATCTTAGTGGGGGAAAACAGAAGGATATTTCTGTATTTCCAAGATATCTGGTAAAGATCAAACTGTTTGGATCTCGCACTATGGAGGTCAGGAAATTGGAAATGGCAGTTCACTTCAATTGAGAAGTTTCCTAGCTTATGACTGGAAATAACATAGTCAAAGGTCTCTGATATACTTTGATACTATAGGAGTTATCTATCAGGTTGTGTCATTGCTTTGTTTTTCAGAGGAATGCGTAAAAAAAAGCGAGGCAGAGACAAGGGGCACCTCTTCTGTATCGAGTATCTTATGAAAAGTCTGTTCTTTATCATTGCTGGAGGTCTTATGAAGACTAGAGTTAAATATAAGACAGCATGAGACAGACCTTATTTGTGAGAGTAGCCAGATTACTATCAACTACTCATAAGAACAACCCAAAGTATTTCACCTGCTTCAACTTCACTTTGCAGAACACAATCACTTCTGCCTCTGATGTAACCTGCTGTTCTGTGTGCTTTATATATATGTGAAAATAATACTTTATTAACATATATTATGTGCCTTGGTAGAGGGGGAGGTGAGATAGGCAGCCTGTAATGGGGGATCTTGAAGCAGCTGTCTTAAAGTGCTTGTCAAAACAGGTTTTAAAACTATTTTTAAAGGTTGTGTGAGTGGCAGTGTGTTAGCCTGTGGTGTACCTCTGTGTGTCAGCATGGCAGTGAAGAAAACCATGTGCAGAGCTGTCTTCAGAGCTACAGTTTCAGATGTACCTGAAGCCAAACGTGTGTGATCTTATGCCAGCCATGAATTTCTTTTATTTGTTGTGATTCCACCTGAAACGTGCTTGTGGGTTTTGGGTTTTGTTGCACTGGGATGTTGAGGGAGCATTGCGGGAGCCAGCAGATGGGCTTGCATATATACGGGAAGTGGGCTGAGACATAAGTGTTCAGAATTTATGGTGGACATAAAGACCCCTGGAAGTGATTGATTCTAGTCATTGCTCACATAGATAATGACAGGTTTGAGAATAAAACAGTAACTGATAGCATCTGAGCTGGGAATAAAATTTATCCTTCTATGATGTCATCATGATGTCATGCTTTATTGCCGATAATTTCAAAATCTATCTCAGCCCATGGCTGTTGCCACCATGCTGGGGTTCATGTGTGTGATATCACACGTGCTGTCAGCTCCAGTCACTGATGACAGTGCTCTTCTAATTGTGATTTAAAGTGCTTTCCTGTCCTGATGGGGGAAGTTACAGCTTTCTCAGTGCATATTGTATTCTGGGCCAACTGCTGCTGCTGAGGAGGGAGCATAATTTGGAAGGGTCTTTGGAGGGCAGTGAGTGTAGTTTTCATATGCTGTGTATACAGAAAAAATATGGGGTTTGTGGCCTGAAGGTGACTGTCAGGGTCAGAATGGTTATTAAGGGATGAAAGGGTGACTGACGCATGTAATCCTTGCATCCTTTGCCTCCTCTCTCCCAAAGGAATATTGAACTGATGTTCTGCAAGGACAAATAGAAAGGAAAGGAAGTAAGGGCCAAGGCTCATGCACAGTCAGGTTGATTGGTGGATCTTCATGGTACTTACTTGAACATTCTGCTCAAATGAGGAATTTGTGGATAAAAGAAGACCCAAGGTTATAAGTGGTGTACCTCTTAATTCTAACAAGATGGCCTTTCCTCCTGTCGCAGGGAACTGTGTCTTGCCCTTTCCAACAAAGGATGAGGCAACTTTAGACCCCTTGCTCTTGGACATAAAGGGTATTCTAATCCTGCATTCCCATTTACTGTACTCCACAGGAGAGCGCACGAGACCCTGCTGTGGACTAAGCATGGTAAGCTGGTAGAGAACCTGGAGCAGATGTTTTGTCAGCATATTCCAGCTCTTTTTGTTTTGGACAAGGAAGGCTCCTGGAACAGGTCTCTTGCTTGATTTCTAGCATCACCATGTCTTTTGTGTTTTCACACCAATTGCCTGACAGCACACGTTAGTCCTCTTCAGCTTTTTGGACTTCTGCCTGTAAATCTCTGTGCTGGTTATATCTAAGTGGAAGGATTACTTTGACATTTCTGCTACATCCCATCCTCCCTCCAGCTTTCCCCTCAGCCAGTTGAACTGTATCTGGATTCCCCCGAACAGAAGGGTAGGCACAGGAGCAAAGTCTGTCATTTTTCTTGCAAAGCCTATGGCAGCAGATTGCAACATTTTCTGTCAGCTCATTAATTACGAGGTCATTAACTTCTGAGGCTAGCAAACACTAGAAATACCAAGGTTGCTTCTCAGATGTTACAAATAACATATTGGGTAGTTCTGAATCAGTAGAGATGGCTTAAATGCTGCCTGATAATACCTGGAGCTCTGCTGTGACGGGGCTCAGAGCAATCTTAATGGAAGAGCCCGCGCTTTGTTAGCCACCATAACTCATGCAATATGGGAGCAGTAAAGAGAACATGTGGTATCTGTGGTCCTGGAGCAACAGGTTAAGCTTGGTGTAAGAATTCTGCCAGCATATCGGAACAACCCTGTAAGAGCGAAGTGATGCTATTTTCAGATTGTGGCAGATATATTGTTCCAAAACTGCACCAGCAATCCTTAGGAAGTTGACAGCAAAATTTTCACTGGTGTTGTGAAATTAGCCTCTCTGATGGGTGCCATTTACTGCAGAGGGAGGAAACCAAATCACAGAGCAGCAGTGACACTGGATTTTTTTAATACGTATATATTTAATTTTTAACGAAGTGCCCCTGTGGTGCAATTGGCTACTTTCTCAGTGCAACAGCACCAGAGAGGAAATTCCTTCCCAGTGCTCACAGGTGATCAGCTTACACATTGGAGCATGAAGTTTGATTACCCCTGTAACATTTTATTAGCTTGCATAGCTGCAAATGTTATTAATGCTCATAAAATTATCCAGTCCTTTAAAATGTCTGTTCCACTGGTGTGCGTCTCCATGACTTCCTGGGGTAGTAGATTCCAGAGGTGACTGTGCTGGGTCAGATAGTATTTTACTTTTATTTCCCTCTAATCTACAGCCCTTCTGTTTCATCAAGTATCCCCTGGTTTACTTTTAAGTTAAGGGGCAGGCTAATGTGAAGCAGCAAACTGTGCTCTTCCATGATTTTAAATTTTTCTTTGTGCATACATGTATATAATGTGTTTATAAGTAATGTATGTTTGCATATATATGTGCATGTGTGCATATACATGCATGTGTGTGCACTGGTACATGTGTATACACATGTGTATATACTGTGTCACTTAAGCATCTTATTGGGCTGCTTGGGTGGTTTCCTGCAGGGATCACCATCCCCCTCTATGTGCCTGTGAAGGATGCTCTGGGAGGCAGAGTAATAACAGGGAAGAAAAATGTTGCTGTGAGCAGTGTGTCAGCAGACTTCAGACACAATGGGGCCCGTGTTTCCAGACAAGCCTTTTTAGCTAATTAGCTTAGTAAAAAAATCTATTTCTTTCCTTAAATTCCTTGCCATCCATCTACCTAATAGAGTCAAGCAGCTATATATTGTGTGCGGGGTATGCAATGCATCATCTATCTCTAGTATTTATCTCATTGCTCCCAGCCTGGTCTCTCCATCTCTCTGTCTACAGGAGTTGCCAGGTTTCCCATTCTGGCAGTGACTGTAATGCAAACATGCTGGAGTTCTCCCCTTTTGGATTTCCCATTTCTGTCCCACAGCAGCTCAGCCATGGCCGTGTCCTTGCTTGCCCATTTGTGTTTCCATGATAAACATCCAGAAAGCAGACACTGCTGCAGCTGTGTGGTCTGGGTGGCTTTCTCACCCAGCTTTGTATAACCTGTGTAGGGTCTGAAGTGATGCCCACCATCACCTCTGGAGCTGGGATGGGTGAGGGATGCTGCTTTGTTGAAATCAGAGATAGGTGCTTTGGCTTCAGCATAACTCTGGCAGGAGAATGAGACCCCTGAATTTTTGTTGTGTGAACAACCATTTGTAATCAAATGGGAACATCTCTTCTGGAAAGACATCCAAATCTTAAAGACCCATATGGCAACAATTTTCACCTAAGTTCTGTTTTTTGGACGTTTCAAGCTCCAGTCTGACTGTTGGATTGCTGTTAGCAAGATTAAAGAGCTACTAACATCAGAAACCGTTTTATGTAGGAACGCAAGGACCAGAGTCAAGTTGCTTTTTAGCATTCTTCTTAGGGAACTAAATCGACTGAACTCCTTAAGGTTCTCACTCTAAATTATTATTGTAGCTGTTGTCTGAACTCCTTGTTTCTGACACTTTTTTGGAAGTGTGAATACAAAAACTGGACACAATGTTCTTGCCAGCACCAGGAAGCAATGTGAAATACAACTCCCTTTGTACTTCACCAGGCAGAGAAAGTGTGGTTAGCCTCAGCCTGATGCTGAAGCCTCAGAGTGATGCTTGTGTGTAGTCAGATGTCTACCTTGACCTTTGCTCGCTGCCCCGAAAGTGGCTTGCTAAGCTCCCCTCTACATCTCAGTGAAGTGCATTGCACTTGGAGATGATGTTTGCATGCATATGAGTTGTCAGGTACTCAGGGATGACAAATGCTTGTTAAATGGTGAGCTGGTTGCTTCTTTCCTGGGCTCGGTTTTTGTTTGGAGCTCTCTAGATGTTTGAGTAGCATGGAGTCAGCTCCTCTGGCTGGAAGAGATGGGCTGACACACTGAGTGTGTATTTGTCTTGAATCTTTCCTTTCAATCTGTTTGCAGCCTCGTGTTTGCTTGTGTGAAATTGTTGAACCCCCATTAGTTTACCAAGAAAACGTATTTTCTACAGGCTGATGAACTGTCCTTGTCTGGAGTTGCTGTGCTATTATCATTTGCATTTCTTGCAAATGCTCTCAGGCGTTCTTCAATGTGTCACTGAAAAACCTTGAACGTTAACAGTGAGCTTCTGAGGTCTGTCCCCTTGTTCATGTATCTTTCACTGTGCTGCTTGTTTTAATAACAGAAGTGAAAGTGTTGGGCAACTATTTCTAAAGCTGTCTGAAAACAGAACAAAACCCCAGAAAATTCTGGAACAGAATGCTTTTGTTGGCGAGAGTTAGGTTTGTAAATATTTATTCTTCGCAAGCAGAAAATACCAGGCTCTTGTGATGGAAAAACCAGGCAACTCAAATTTAAAGTGACAGCCCCTGTGTATGAATCGCGGGCCTGCAGGAATGTCAATAGGTCAGAACCAGCTGTTGCGTTGGCATGCAAGCTCCTCTACCATTGAAATTCATGAGAGTGCTTTCTACCCTTTGCTGTAGTTAGAAAACAGACACAAGTGCATTTGTGTCTCTGTGTTCCTCTTGGTGTAATATCTTGCCTATGCTGTTGTCCCAGAGTCTGCCTTGCAGCTGGAAGTCCTCCTGTGTTCACTTGCTCTTTAAGTAGCCGCTCCCTGGTGCCTTCTCACATGGATGAGAGATACTCTACCTTTCACAACCTGTCCAGTGCAAACAGTACCTTATTTCTTGCCCACTGAAAATTAAAACCACTTCAAAAATCTGCACTCTCTGACATGTGTTTGATTGTGAAACACGGATAAGAGAAACTCAATAAAATGAAGGCTTGGGGCTGCACATAGTAAGCAACCTCTTTACACACACTGGAAAAAAGAAGTGCTTCTGCCCCCAACACAAGGGGGATGTGGAGCTGCTGGAGCGAGTCCAGAGGAGGCCACAGAGATGGAGCAGCTCTGCCCTGGAGACAGGCTGAGAGAGCTGGGCTGGTTCAGCCTTGAGAAGAGAAGGCTCTGAGGAGACCTTATGTCTTATGACCTCCCTGTGAGGGTGCTGAGGCGCTGACACAGGGTGCCCAGAGAAGCTGTGGCTGCCCCATCCCTGGCAGTGCCCAAGGCCAGGTTGGACAGGGCTTGGAGCAACCTGGTCTGGTGGAAGGTGTCCCTGCCTGTGGCAGGGGGTTGGAACTGGATGAGTTTCAAGGTCCCTTCCAGCTCTAGCCATTCTATGTTTCTAACTGATTGACCTACCCTTGTTAATGTGAGTTCTCTGCTTTGTGCCAGTGTGTGGTGGTAGCTCTCTGCTATGGTTCACTTCAGTGTGTGTGAACATCAACCAGCAACTTCTGGGAGATAATTCTGTGCTGTGTGGATGCAAGGGGAAGACCTTGAAAATGTTTTTCTGAAAGGAGAACAATATTCTATAGCAACTGCTCTTGACTGGCCTTCAGACTGTTTTATAAGCAATGTAAGGCATGGCAGATGTGCACTTACTCTTTCTGCTAGGATGCAGTGCAAAACCCCACCACATGGCTCTGCAATCCCACTTGCTCTTGGCTCTGCTCCTCTGACTGCATGTTGAAAGCAAGTGGAACAGTGACGCCAAAAAGACCTACTTGCCTCCTGCTAAGGGTCAAAGTATGGGGTTTGCTGACTGCTGGGGCTCTCTGAACCTTGGTGTGATTCCCTGGGTGCAGATGACTGACATTAAAGGGTAGATTTCCCAAGTGACTGTGTCTGCCTGGACCCTCTGGAAGCAGCATGAGGGAAGGTTGACTGGAAAATCTGCTGGAGACTTGGCTTTCCAGGATCTTTATTTTCCTGCAAAGGGCGAGGAGGCTACTATGGTGTTCTCGTGTTTTGCAAAGTCAGGGTGGAAAGCTGGGAGTTAGGCATAGGAAGTCTTTTGTAAAAGAAATTAAACAAATAAAGGGCAAGTGTGGGAAAGGAACTGAAGACATGACAAGGTAGTGTTTGTTCTGCTTTATATTCTTGCTAAGGAATACTCTGTTCTGTTCTGCATTAATGTCTGGTTTACTGTGCAGCCTCAGTGCTTAGACACCAAATCCTCAAAGGAAGCATGTGTGAAGATACTCACAGAGGTCACTGCACCCCAGAACTTCGGGGCTCAATTCACTTTTTGTGAGCAATAATTCATTGCTTCTGTGGCACCTTGATTTCCCCATCATAGAGGGCGTGCCACATTTGGACAACAGGAAGGAAAGCTGGGAGCTGAACCAGGCAATGACTCCTGCAACCAGTGCAGCAGTGATGAAACAGCTTCAGCAAGGAGCTGGAAAAATGACTGCCACGGGGAGCCTGGTGTCTCCTTTAGCTGTGGCCTTTGTGATCCTGAGTGAAAGGTCACTGGCTGTAGCAAATCCTTTCAAAACTATGATCGTCTCTGAATCTGTCAGCTGAGAATTAGGCATGGGGCCAGTGGAGATGTCAGTGCAGGCTTTGGACTGCGGTATGTGATGAGCATTAGCAAGCTGCATGGTTTCCTCTCTGCCATTCTTCAGAGTTACTGTGTTTGGCAGGAATTAATGGATCTGGAGAGAGATGCTGTGGTTGAAGCGCCTGGGTCAGGTAACAGCAGGCATGGAGGTGACAAAGTTGGCTCTGCCAGCTGTTTGACAGTCCTGTCTGCCACCTAGCAGTGTGCAATTAGAGTTCTGCAGAGCGCATCCCTGTGCTTCAAGCTGTGATGCTTCCAGTTTCCAGGCTCCACAATTTGGACCTGTGGGCATGCTCCACCTTATGAAAATAGCCACCTAACCCGCCCTAAATGATTAAGCTGAAATTGCTGTGCTGGTGAGTACGTGTTTCACCATGGCTGCTCTGTCTGCCCTGCCCCAGTGTCAGGCTCGTGTGGTGGCTTCTTTGCATTGCTGACTTTTGCAGGGCTGGGGAAAGCAGGGAATTTTTATCTTCTCCTGTGCAGTTAATTAGGAAGCATTCCAGTTTGTGCCGTTTGGTGGGGAATGTATCCAGGCTGTTCAGTGATGCTAGCAGAGAACAGACCTTGCAGGCAAAGTAGGAATTCCTGATACTGCTACCTAATTTGTGTTGAGCTCAAATTCATCAGCCAACGTATCCTAACCTTTAAGTCTCAAAATTGCAGCCCTTACTGCAATTATTGGCACTAGTGAACAGAAAAAAAAAAGATTTATTTAAGAGGAGAGAGGTTAGTCTGTCCTTGGCCTGGGATAGCTGGCTGGCTATGTGTTAGGTCAAGGAGTCGCAGCAGGTCTTAGCTGATAGAGGATGCTGAATTCACAGGGAAATAAATTCCTTAGCAACTCTGAGTGGTCTTCACACAACATGTCAGCAGCAGCTCTTGCTGGTAGCTGTAGGCTAAACAAACTAGTTTGGTATACCAGACAACTAAGGGCATTAAATGGCCTTTGGGATTAGATGAGAGAAGCTGTGGAGGCCTCATCCCTGGCAGTGTTCAAGGCCAGGCTGGACAAGGCTTTTGGACTAGCCTGGTCTATTGAGATGTGTCCCCCCCCGCCAGGGGATTGGAACTGCGTGAACTTTAAGGTCCCTTCCATCTCTTACTGTTCTAAGATTCTATGAGCTTTGTGATGGGATCCGGCCATACCCTGGAGCTCCTGGAGAAGTGCCTACACTTGGGAATGTGCCTCCAACCTTAGCATGCAGTGAGGGAAGCTGGTGTAGCACCACACAACACCTAAGCGTGCTCCTTATTCTGTGTTTTCTCATCAGCAGATGCTGGGGCTTCATGAATGGGGAAGGGAGGTGGCTCATGTGCTTCTGGCTGGGAGGATAATCTATGTACATCTGATTGACACTGGGAAAACATTACTGAACCCTTGCAGTATGGTGGAAGCTCATTGGGATTCAGGGCTCAGTCACAGAAATGCACCACCTGGCAGGATCAGTCACCTCAACCCTCACTGACCAAAAGAGAGAGCCACCAGCTCTCAGTCACCACTGGGGGCATGTCACTGGAAATGACAAACGGTGGGGGAAGGAACAGGGCATAGGGAGATGGGGATTGCACAGGGAGTGTGTGAAATAAACCTTTGACTTGGATGAGCTCAGAGAACACTGAAAGAGCAGCTGCCATGGGCTAAGTGCCATTCTCCATCCTCTTCTGGAGAGGTGGGTGAGAGACGCCTGCCTGCCACAGCAGTGGGGCTGCACTGCCTGGGGCCAGAGGGCTTCGAGAGGGAACGGTGTGGGGAGGAGCAAGCTGGACCGTTTGGGACAGAAATGTTTTGCTGAGCCAGACCAGGGGTTCATCTAACCCAGGTCACTGTTTCCAGCAGCAGCAGCAGGAGGTGCCCTGTGGAGAGAGCCAGAGTGATGAATCTGGCCCCTTTTGCCATCCATTCCCTTTGTGCCCAGCATCTGTAGTGTTTGGAACAGAGGTATTAGAAGGTATCTCTGCCTTGTCTCTAGTCTCTGTTTGGAGTGGTTATTTTTGAATTTAGTTCATGAATTTCATTCTGCTGATGGGTGGCCCTGTGCTTTGCTGCTGATTACCATCACCCACACCCTACCTGAGTTGTTTGCAGTTGTACTATCACATCTGTACAAGGATTGAAGGAGCCTGTCTCTTCCAGCCTTCCTCAATGAAGGAGGCTGCGTGTTGTAAGGTGGTTACTACCACTGCAGTATTACCTGCCTCTTCACGACAAGTCTTGAACTCCAGTGTCTTCAGCTGAAGATAGTTTTGCCATATCCTGGTAGTTGGAGGGAGCTGCTCTGTGTGGCTGTCTACCACACCAGTGTGTGTGGGAAGTGGCTGCACAAACAACATCTCTGTCCTGTTCCATTCCCATCTCTTGGCATGCTTAAACGTCTCAGCTTGGGTAAGAGCTCCTGGAATTAAGGTGTGCAGTGGAGGTAAGTGCTCTTGCTGACCTGACTTGTGATCTTTGTTGCTGTCTTAAATAAGGGCCACCCCAGTTCTTAGTAGTGTGCTCACACTCAGGACCCAGTGGGCTTTTCTGATACCATAGCTCTTCCAAGCTGGAGCTCTAGGCAGAGGGATGAGAGATGATGTCTGCCAGTGAGCTGCTGTTAATCTTGATGGCTGTTGTTGACTTGATAGGTAAGCTCTGAGTGGATCACTCTCCTCTGGGGAGGCACTTGTTTGCAGTCATTAACCTTTATTTGGTTTGGCTTATATGCTCAGGTAGCAAATTAGGTCAGATTGAAGTGGCTTACATTAAACTGAGCAATGGCTACTTGAATCTGGAGTGACCGTGTCCACACAGAGGTTAATTCAGTTTAACCTGATCACTTTAAATCTACCCTTGTTGTGAAGAGGATGGATTTCCATCACTGTCCCTGCACAGGTCTGTCTTTTGGTGGGGCAGAGGAGGAGCAGTCTGTTCCCATGTTTGAAGAGGGGAGTCCAGCCCCTGCTACTCCAGTATCTCCCTCTTTGCCCAGCTGCCCCTTGAATGGTAAGCCTGGTTCTTGGCAGTGTATCTGTTTGTATACTGATTTAGCTAGCTGAAACAAAATGAGTAATGCTAATTGCTGTGGTTAGACTGCTTTTAGTCTCTCTGATTTTTACAGCTCTTACCATGCACAGGACAGAACAAGGTTCCCAAGAGGGGCAGAATTAACTAGTGAAGTAATAAATCTCCTGATTACTGTCAGGTGCTGGAGGGTTGTACGAACACTGTAACTTTGTCAGTCTTTGACTGAGTAATAATAAATGAAAAAAGGAACCCCAGAACATGCTCCTCTGGGACCTGGAAACAGTCCAGCCAATGCAGCTCTCATCCTGGCCCATTTGTTACAGCTAAAGCAGAGTTTTGTCTGGACCGTTCTGTTGTTTGGAGATGGCTGGAGTTTTTGTCTAGTTCCTGGTCCTCTTCTACACCATCAACTGCGTTCAAGACCTTTGCAGCTTACCCTTCACCTCTATCTCTCAAAGGCATTGTATGTCTAAAGACTGCAAGGTGTTAACATATTCTAGCAAGGCTGGATGAAGGACTAATCTCGATGTAGATCCCACCTGAGATCCTTCCTAAACCTGCAGCAAAGTCTCGGTATCCAAAAATGCTAGACAAAACAAATGCTGTAGGTGTCCAAATGCCTTCGCAGGCAGTAGACTTAATCCTCACCTATTGTCTTGAAACGGGAAGCTACCATCCTTACTACACTTACCACCTGACCCTGTTCAAAACCCCATTGCTCCTTTGCAATGCCAGGTGTCATCAGCAGTGGAGTTGCCATGAGATCAGCCTGGTGCACTGGCCTCTGTCAGTAACTATCTCAGCGCTTAAGAACACCAGCAGGGTTCTAATATTAATGAGTTGTGCTGAGCCTTCAGGAGGAAAGGCTGCCTTGCAGAGCTCAGGCTGGGAGGAGGAGTTTACACTGTGATTTCTCAGAAGCAGAGGATGGGGTTGTGCCTTCTGTACAATTTGGCTACCCTGATTCAAGCCCAGCCTGCACAGATGCTCTGGGGAAGGCTCTGGCTAGCAGGAACTGGTCTGGGTGGTTGTGGTGACTTTTGTCCTTGAAGTCCTTCGCTTTTATTTGAGCTTCATCCCTAAGAAGAGAGGTGACTTCAATCCCTGTAGCCTGTGAGCTGGAAGGAAATGGAAGGGAAAAGAGCTAGTGCTGCTGTGCAGAGGCTGAGATCGGTGGGAAATCACAATTACCTCCCAGATCTGCAAAACGCCAACTTCCTTAAAAGTGAGCACTTAATGTAGAAGGAAATGTGGTGTCTGATAATAGATACTACCCTAATGAATAAACAAATGCTTTAAAAGATGGACTCCTCATGCAATGTGCTTTTTTAATTTGGTATCAATTTGCATGCTAGTCAATTTGCATACATTAAATACATCTCCCCTTCTGCATCGAGTTCCCCCTCCCCTTCACTACAACATCTCGTTACAGTGCTGCTGAGACTGAGGAGCTCGTGGATCTGGAGGGGATATTAATTTGCCCAACACATGCTGTGCAGGTTTTTATCACTTGCTGCACATTGGCCCTAGTGTCTTTTGAAGTCACTAGTGCCTCGAAGGGCCTTCTGCTTCAGGTAGTTGAAATGGAAAAGAAAGAAAGGGGAGGAGGGGCTGCCTGGAAAAGAAATGCACAGGGAAGAAAGGAGATTGTTTAGGTTATGTTAATTCAACAGGGAAGAAAATGAGCTGCATGGAAACCTCTCTCCTCTGCCAGAAAGCCTGGGCATCTTGGGTGGGTATGTGGTTGCCTTGCTTCTTGTTTGAGATTAAATATGCCATCTTCCTGTGAGCCACATAGGAAGATCCTGGTGAGGAGGAATGGGCCAGTAAAAGGCTCAAGAGGAAACAGTGGGGTGGAGGAAGAGCTCACTCACTGGGCTCTGCAGTGCACCTTGGCTTTGGGATGGGAGCTGGCTCACTCACATGTGCTTAAAGGTGGCTGTGGACGTTTGTGGGTAGCAGGTGGTAGGACACCCCATTGTGGTTTAGAGTGCAGAGCTCCTCATGGGGACCTGGGAGGTGGCAGATCTCTGCTGCTGTGGGAGCTGCTGCTACCCCATGATACATTTTCCCCATGTGGGAGCTAGGATTAATTATGCTAAGCGCTTTTAGAGAGCTTCAGGATGTTCTCAGAGCATGTGCTGAGGGAGAGGTGGGGGGAACTGTTCTCCATGACTTGGATGTCAGTGAGAGAGATGTCTTGGTGAAAACATCATGGGGCGTTATGACATCCCTCTGTCTTCGATAGACAGAGATATAATTCTGCAACTGCAAGATCAACTCACAGGCTTCCAAAATGCTGCTGCTGCTGTGGAAAAACCTGCTGCTGTTGTAGAGCGGAGCCCAGGGAATGTGTGTTTGTGCGTGTGTGTGTTCACAGTTCCAAGTACTGACCAAAAACCCTGGAAATGTTTTGAGGAAAGAACGAAAGAGAAAATGTCTTTCAATTAGTTCAGCATTTTTCAGCCTGTTCTGGTTGCAATCAAGAACACTGTACTGAGCTCAAGTGCTTCTTTGAAAGAGCCTTAAAAAAAAATCGTCTGGGGAAATGAATAGAGGAAGTGACCCAAGTCTAATCTAGACTGATAGACTGAGGAAGACACAGCCTCATCAAGTAACAAGGTCCCTTCACTCTTCCTATGCAATGCTGGCTGTAGCCAAAACTCCTGCAATGTGGCAATTCAGGAATAAATGTCAGCAGCTCCTTCATGCCAAGAATATTTGGATGTCAGCAGAAAGAAGAAATGTTTCTGATAAACTGATGTAAATGGGATGCTGGGATCAGGGGTGAGATCAGCCCTAGGTAGCTCTGATCTCATGCAATTTCCATGCATGGAAACCACCACAGAGCAAAGGGTTTCTGGTCCCCATCCTCCTCAAGAAGCCTTTGATGTAATAGCTTGTATTTCACGTAAATACCAGCAAAGGGGCATGAAGTGTGTGGCATGCAGGCATTTTTAATGAGAGAGGATGTGAAAATCCATACCCTGATGAAGCAGGCTTTGTACTGTGTGCAGTTTGAGCACAACAAAAGGGAGCTCCTGCCTCTGAGTGTGTGGCAGTGTAGCAGGCAGGCAGGAAGGGTGAAAAAGGTGTACGAGGGTGAAATATCTCACCCCATATAGTGCTTATGGCTGGCCAGGGGTAGGGAATAATCACCATATTTGTTGTAGGGTGATCAAGTCTAGGGTGAGAGTCCACTGCACCTCATTTCTAGCTCCTTCGAATCAGAGGCAACATTGAACTGAAGGAGAGAGGTGCCTGTAAGAAAGGCTGATCTTTGCTGTGAGCTGTTCAAAGTGGCTGCTCTCAAACCCAGCCATGGGCCAGCAGGGTGGGATGGAGAGGGCTGTGGTGTTTACACAGGCCAGGATGAAGGATTGGAGGGGCTTGGTCAGAGATGCTCTATTGGGTGTACTGCAGTGGACTCTGGGCCACCTCCCTAGTCCCAGAGATGTCCCACTGTATGCTGGGTAGCGCAATGGATGCTTAAGCAGGGGGGAAGTCCAACTCTGACCCCCAAGATACACTTTGGTTAGAGCCAGTCCAGCCAGTCCTAGTCTGAGAGCTGCTTTTCAGAGGGAATATCATGAAATGTGTCCTTTGGAGGCCGCCCTGCCATACAGGATACCGTAAGAGCTGCCGAGTGAAGTATCCGGCCCTGCTCCCTCCTGGCCTGGCTGGCCCCACTGGCGAGATTGTTTCCACAGCAAGAGAACAATACCTCTCCTTCCATCCAAGAAACATTTATTATATGATACGTTTCAGATGTCTCTTCAGGGAGGAAGGGAAAAGCAAAAGAGAAATAGATCTCTTTTTTAGGGCGGCGCGGCATGATCCATTCCATAATGGATTAATTATCCCCGCGTGCAGGCAGGGTTGGGGGGGGGAACATTCAGAGCAAATGCCAGGGTTGCCTTCCAAGCAGAGCAGATGTAGATATTTCTAGCCTCTTTTTCACAAAATAAAAGGAGTGATTAATAAATTGGGAAGCTTTTGCATTCATTATAATTCCCTCCCTCTCCTGGTTTTCCTTTTCCCTTTGATTGCATGAAACACAGAGAAAGGTAAGGAGTTTAGGAGCCTATTGTGCTGCTTTTTCCCAAGCCCTTGTCAGTCTCCCTGCTTGCTTTCATACCTCTGACTCTTTCTCTCCCTTTAAAGCCCTCAGAGGTCAGAAGCATTTCCTGGTTTTCCTTTGTGTGCCCTGAAGGAAATGGTTTGGGCCAGATAATCTACTGGTATGAATCGGCACTGAGGTACAGACTTCACCAGTTGAGTATTTCACCATACTTCTGGAAGCTCCCTTCCATCCATCAGATGGTGTGGGAAGGGGAGTTGTCCCTCTGGGCCTCCTCTTCTTGAGCTTGGGAGCAAGGCATGGGATTAATACTGACAACTGCAAACAGTATCCAGGTAGAATAGAGAGGCTCCAAATCCCATGAGGTAAATGCTGTTATGATGCCATTTCCTTGTTCTTTCTTGGGTTTTATTTCTGGGTGCTTGCTGGAGGCATGATGCTGGACCAAGCCTGGCTGACAACCCAGCTTTCTTTAGAAACCCTTCTGGTCACCCCAACCTAGGAAAACTCTGTAGTTCTTGCAGCATGGCTGCTGATGTTTTACCTCCCCTCAAGGGAAGGAAGGGATTTGGACCTGCATGCAAAAGTGAGCCCTGGCTGTAGAGCTATCAACGAGTTAAAACCTCAGCCATCATCTCTGTCCTCACCTAGTCCTGTGAACATTTGACACAGTTGGGCTGAAGGTTAGAAAAACAACACAATACAGAGCCACCACCTGTTTGGATTTTTGTGTGTGTGTGTGTGTTTGGTTTTTTTCCCTTTTCCTTTTTTTTTTTTAATGAAAAAAAAAAAAAAAAGGCATTCTGGGGACCAAGGAGGGAATTTGCTGTGTCTTGGAAAGCCTGTTTCATCCTTTTTGTCTGCCTGCCCCGTATGCTCGTGTGTTGTTTGCTGATCTTGGCAGAGGGTGGGAGTTTGTGGAGTGAGAATGTAAAACTTCTCCCTCTCCCGTGCTGAACACAGCTTAGAAGGATGGGTTGTCCTGGCTGCGTCCCTCTGAAGAGCAGAATAAATAATCAAAATATGGAGAGCTTCTGTCCAACCCAATGTTGCGTTCAGCCACTCTTGGTTGACTGAAGAGCTGGAAATGCTGTTTCCAGTAATAGGTTACCTGTTGTTCTTCTGCTCGAAAACAGGTTCAATGAAGCATTCGTTCTTTTACTGCCCTCTTCCTAACAGCTCAGCTTTCCTCCAGAGCTGGGTGACAAAAGCAAAACTGTGTCCTGATGTGTTTGAATTTTTAAGTGAATTTGCTTGGGCAATATTCCCAACCTTTCCCTGGTACCCTTCCAAGAATGTTCAGGCAATGAGATTTTTACTGGCAGGGGCAAAAAAAAACCCCATGAAAAGCAAATTTGCAGGTTTGGTTTTTTTATCACTATTGATACCTGCAGCGCTAAAATATCCTGACATGGTCTTAAAACATATTGGAGAAGATTCTGATGAATAATGAATTGTGATTTCTTTTTATTTGCCTTCTGGTTCTCATTGAACTCTTAAGGCTCTTGAGTTTTCCTTTAGAATCATGGGACATAGGAATTGATTTTACCTGGGTCTGAAATGATGTGTCTTTGTAGCTGAGTTTGATGAAATGCAGATGTTGGTCCCTCAGCATTTCTTCAAATGTTGGTTCTGGTCCAGTTTGGACCAAAAAGTAATATTATTCTTTTTCCCCCAAACTTTGCTATGAACAGGCAATTCTAGAAACAAACTTTAGCCAAGGGATGATGTTATATCCCTCAAACTCTGCTGCTACTCTGAAACCCTGATTTTTGTTAGCTTCATCTGTACTGATAAAGAGTTTCTGAGAATCATAGTCTGGAATAATTCAGGTGGGAAAGGTCTAGGAACGTCTTTAGTCCAACATCTTGCTCAAAGCATTGTTAGTTTTGAGATCAGACCAGGGTTTGAAATCCTCCAAGGATGGAGATGGCACAGCCCATACCACCATTTGACAGTCTTCATGGGAACTGTTGTTTTATCCAGTTGGTTATATCTGGCTATTTCAGTTTAGGCCTGTTGTTTCCACTCTCCATCTTCTTGGTAACCCACACACAGGTACTGGAAAGCTGCTGTTAGGTCCACCTAAGCCCAGCTCCCTTGGCCTCCTTATGGGGCAAAAAATGCTTGGGGCACCATTACTCTGGATCCCTCATGTTCTCCTCATCCATGCATGTCACAGGATTTCCTCAGCTTAAGAAGGTCAACAAGGCCAAAATTTCCTAG